CAAGGGTGTAGTTAAAAAAAAAAAGGTACAATTTAAAGGTTCTCCATGAGCACCTTCACATTAATCCCAGGCTTAAGAAGGCATTGGCAGCATTAGTCTATCTACTCCAGCTGTAGTGAAAAAAACCACCACCACCACCAACTCGCAAGCATTGCCTTGCTTGTATAAAGCAGTTCCTGGCAGGGTTCTTGGCAAAAGTGAAAACATCCCATCTACCCAGGCTCTGAAACCCTGTGCAAATAGATTTCTGCCAAGTAAGCTGAGCTCTGCCCACGGAGCATTCTTTAGGACTTAGTATACACGTACACTGAGTTCCCCACTCTTATCCACACTGTGTCAGTTTTTATAAGGCTTTTATGAATGTGTGACCTTAGGTTTTAAAGGGAGACCACAGAAGTTGACAATGACCTAAACTACCTGTGAATGTCAGCCTTTCAGCTAAGAGAATATTACTGATAAATCTAGGCTACACAGGGCTGCTCTGAAGCTCTGAAACCAGGCAAGAAACTGCCAGGTTTAATAATTACTGGGGTGTGAGAGACACGGCAGTTGACTGTTGATGACACCTCTGGGAAACTGTTTGCTAGAAATAAACAAGGTTTGTGAACAGAGCTCTACGACTCTAGGATCTGCTGGCTTCCACCGGTTAATTCTCCAGATTACTTCGGTAACCTTGTGTCAACAGTAACCCAGCTTCTTGTGAGCAGACTTAAATGCCACTGTTCTGCTGAGAGTGATACCAACGCCCTGCTCAGAGTATCAACAATTCTAGGTCAGAAACACAGACTAACATTTACATCAACAAGAGTCAAACGAAGTTCCTACTTTCCTTCCTTCCTTGATGTAACATTTACTGACTAGCGTCCTGTGAGACACTAGTCACAGAAAGATGATAAGATGTGGTCTGTTCCCTCAAGGGGCTCGATCTAATCCACAAAATAAACATGAAATGCACATGACACTATAGTAGGATAGACGTTACAGCAGAAGGCAGGCTGTCGTGGGAGACCGGGACGTAGGCAGCAGCCCACTGCATCACGCTTCACAGAGGTGGCAATTCAGTTGGGTGGTCATCGATGGCAAGGAGTTTGTCTGATGGAGAAAAGGGTGACAGAAAGAAGTCTTCAGGAAGAGAAAAGATCATACGCAAAAACATGGCCATGAGACAGGGCATGGCCTGCCAGGGAATGGTGAGAGGTTCTGAGTGGTTGCAGCAGAGAGTTTGAGGGAATAGTGGAAGAAACAGCAGGAAGTCTAGAACTTCTTAGCTAGGACGAGGATTTGGGGTGGACATGGGCAACTGAAGGCAGTGTCCAGGGCTGCTGAGGCACAGATTCACTGGGGTGAAGGAGGGCGGGATGAAATCCCGAGGCAATGATTAGTCCTACCAAGTACCCAGTCCAAATACATCTAGACAAGTCTTTGCTACAGGAAGGTCTGTGATGAACTGTACCAGTTTAAGCCATCATTTCCAGAGAAAAAGTCACTGTTATTGTTTCTCACAGATCAGGAGAGAAAGAAAGCCCTCTTTCCTTTCAAAAGACTGTATTAACCCCTACAGAAACTAGCTACCTTTCCCTGCCCAAATCTCACCTCTCCAATGCATCTTGCACGTTGCTGTTGGTGTCATCTTCCTAAAACATAGCTTTTAACACCTGGCTTCTCAGTGGCCGTAGAGCTTGAAGCTCACATTCTTTAGCAGTCTTAGCTTTTCCTCATACAGCATACCTTTCTACACTTCTGTGCTTTTGCTCATGCAGAAATGACATGCCTTTCTCCCCTACTCTTAACCTGCCAAAATTCTATTTGTCCAAAAGTCTAGCGTAATGGCCACCTCCTCAACGAAGCCTCCCTTTAGTCTTCTCATCGTGATGACTCCGTCTTCTCTGACCCATATTATCTTGCTAGTTTCAACCAAGCACCCATTTCCTCTGTCTTGTCTTTTAAGTAGTCTTTGGGAAGTTTTTACTGGAGTGAACATCTTGATTAGGGAGAAGGCAAGAAGGGAGGGAAGAAGGTTGGCTTTGGAGTAGACATAGTAACTGACTCCTACACAAGGATCAGGGAGAGGCAGTGTGAGTAATAAAAAGGTGAGACACAGAGGCCAAAGAGAAAGCTTGTACTTTCCAAAGATGGCTGCAGCAACATTCCTCAAGCTCCTCCACGCAGCCTCTTATCAAGAAGTGGAACCCATTTCTCTCCCTTTGAGTCTGGGATGGCCTTAGAACTCACTTGTAACCACTAGAACGCTGCAGAGGGGACGCTGCCTGACTCCCGAGGCGAGGTCAGGGAAGCCTGCAGCCTCCTCCTGGTTCTCTTGGGAGGTTGCTCAGCCCCCATGTAAGATGTCTACCCGCTCCGAGGCTGTGGTCCTGGAGACACCAGGCATGGGTGCTCCAGTAGACAGTCCCAGTTGAGCTCACACTTCCACATCCCCACCAAGGTGCCAGACATGTGAATAAAACCATCTCAGATCCTCTTGACCAGCCCATCTTCCAGCTGGCTACCCCTGAGTGACCCACCCATCTCAGGAGGAACAGAAGAATCTTTTTATCTCAAAAGAAGCTGAGTCTTGGCGGAATTTCTCACTCGCAGAATCCAGGGAATACAATTTAATGGGTATTGTTTTAAGTTCCTATCTTTCAGAGTAGTTTGGTCCACAGCAAGAAATACCAGAAAAGCCAAGGAATGAATGAATCCTGATCCTGCCTTTTATTTCTAAAGCGAATCAGTCTTCTGAAAGGGTTGCAAACACTAGCCAATTTGAGACAAAAAACTTCCGGGATTCCCTTGAAAACATTTAGGGGGCTTGGTGAGGACCAATGAGTGACTTGAGTCCTTAACTGCGAACATGAGGCCAGAAGCCATTGGGGGCCCAGAGGTGCCCCGCACAGGGCGGTGTTGCAGATCTGACCCGTAGACGGTGTCCCATCACAGGCCTGTGCAAGCTTGCTGCACTTTGTAGAGGCAGAACTCAGAGGTCAGAGAAACAGAGTCTTCGTGCCTGGGAGATGGTTGAGACCAGAGGCTCGCTAAACAGCTGTTGCATGAATTGACTGAATTCCGAAACGGGAGACAACGCTGGTGGTGCCGTCTGCTGGGAGGCGACGGGCAGCTGGGACAACACAGGTCGGCACGTGCGCCTCCTGAGGCATCTCAGTCAGCGTGCTCGGCAGCCGGAGAGCTGTGGGCATCTGCTGGGCTCTCTGGGGAGGGACTCTCTCAGGGCTCTGGCTGGAGCTGCATGTCTTGCCCTCATAAGGCAACCCAGGCTTCTGTCCCCACTGTGAGCATCTCTACTTGAAGGTTACACTTGTTGCTCACACAGTATTTGCGTTTCTCTTCTCATCGTTCTGTGGAACTCATTACTAAGTATTAGCACCCACAGAGTCCCCCTAATAGTGTTCTGCCATTATTCTGAGCACTAAATAAAACATTCCTCTTTTCTGAGCTCACAATAGCTTCTTTTTCCTCAGGACCCTATTCAAGATCTCGCATACTGATTTAAACCTATTAATGCCCGTAGGAGAGGCTGACTCAAGACCAGCGTACAGGCCCTCATAGTTATCCTGGAAAGGAAATGGTGAGATCTCTGATCTCTAAAGCAGCTTTCTTCTCCTGGGAGAGGAGATCAGAGTCATGTCCTATATTTTCAGAAGGTCTTTCATATTCTTATTCAGTGAATATTTTTGAAGCCATAATTCTGACTGAGAATGTGCTAGATGTGTTAAGCTAGATTTTTTTTTTACAAGAGTTAAGATTTTGTTGGGATTTTCAAAGGGCTAAAAATTTTATGAGTCAAATATCTTACTTTCATTAAATCGACAACAAATTACATAGGTTTCAGGATTCTAACTGCGTATTTCCTTCACATAAATCTTAGGATTCCCAGTCTCCTGTAGAAATCTCAACTTTGTCTCTGTTTTAGAATAAAGTCAGAGATTTGTTAACTATAACTGCAGTGAAAATGTTAAACAAAAGGGCCATTTACTCATGGATTTAGGCTGACAGCCTTGAATCAAAACAAATGGAGAAATTGGCTTTAGGGCCAGACAGAATCAATTGTTTTCGGGTCAGTTTTGGTTTGAGAAGCCTAATGAAAAGCCATCACTCAACAAGGGCTGGGACGAACACACTGTCAGTCATCATTAATCACTGCAGTGTCCCAGATTGCCTGTCTTCAGTCAAGACACCTTTCTGTCACACGCATTTCTCCATCTTCTTGACTAATAGCATACATATTAATTAGCCAATTAGCAGACTAATGCATGTTAATTAACACATACAATATGATTTAAATATTTAAATAAAGAAGGACTGCTAGATCACTTTTTAAATGTGGTATCAGGTTCGATTATGTAGTCATTTGAAGCTAAATTTCAAAAATCAAGCACTGCATTTTTCAGTGGCTTATGCGCCTCCTTGTCCTCTAAATTCCTTGAGGGCAGGATCTGGTAGGAGTCATCTTTGAATGCTTCTTAGTGCCCGGCATAGGACCTTACACACTGGAGTGAAGTAAATAGTTTTAGAATGAATAAAAAGAAGCCTGTTTGAATAGAAAAGGGTGGATTGAACTTGAATGCACAGACTAGTTCTCTGACAACCGTGTGATTTAAAAGGAACACCTGCACAGCACAGCACAGTTTGCAAGCCCTTCCACACATGTATCATCTCTAAGCAAGCGCCAATAAGTCTGTCTCACTGTTGAGGAAACTGATTTTTCAAGAGATTATGGGAGTCATCTCTGATTTTCTAATTCCCTAGTCTGTGGAATTAGAAAACAAAACCACACCCCTCCCCTGCCACACACACTCATCTCCCAAAATTTATTCGAGATCCATGTTTGTAACATCTTACTCTGCCTACCTCATTATCATCAAACATTGGACAGAGACCAAACCCCATCAAACACTGGCAGAGAACATTGGACAATATATCTAAAATATCAGTTTCTTCAGCTGCAGCTAGCCACACCCATAGCCCATTCCCACGGAACTTACAGAGTGGCTGATGGGGTCTGACGTGGCTGGACCTGCAGATCCAATTTGTAGTGCACACACATGAAATTCGGTGCTCAGCTTTGCAAACACCAAATCATCAGGAACAATGTTGGGAGACGATGAAATGTCACCTTTAGCTTGGAAAACCTAAAGATCGGGTCCAAAAGAAAGCTGAAATTAGTATCCTTGCTCAGGCATGTCTGACTTTCCTTCCAATATTAGGTACATGGCAGTAAGGTAAAAGTCTCCATATGTTACTTATTTTGACATGCTTTTAAGCATTATATAAATACCCTTATCATCAAAATGATGTAAAGGCCGTCAGCACCCAGGAGAGAAAAATGTGCTCACCATCCTCCCAGCCCCCTACCAATCCGCCAGTGGGGTGTGAGTGGCACGTCGAGCAGAAGGCATGAGCAGGCTGGGGAGGGTTGCCTCCTCCTTCTGTGAATCAAAGCCAAAAATGGTTCCTCATTGCTGCTGGTTCTTTGATCTCTTACTCCCTATTTTTAGAACTCTTCTGTCCAACATCCTTTGCCCCATTGCCATGACCTTTCATGACACGCTTCTCCTGGTGGTTATTTTGGGATCCTATTCGTTTCCCAAAGTGATACTACAGCTAGAATTTATGTATGAGGGAGATCAGCACAAGTCTTTGCTTGAAAAAGGACCCAAAGCACATGTTCCCACATGAGGGTGAGAGAGCTGGTGTACAAAGAACAGACACATCATCCATATTTTTAGTCATCAAAGCATTCTGGAAGGATGGCTTAACATAGTAGATACCGTGACCTCACAGGACAGCATTATCTAGGTGCACAATCTGGGCACATGGATTTTGAAAATGTGTCCAGCACAGCTAAAGGGGTATAAGTGTGTGTGTGTGTGTGTGTTTAACAGGTAGAGAAAAGACAGAGGACCATAAAAATGATACAGGAAACTTACCAGAAATTTATCATTTCAGGTTTCTTTCAGACTTTCTCTCTCCCTACAGACCATATATAAGAGTCAGCGCCTTCAAGGGGAAGGGCAAAGAGATCAAGCATGCTTTGATTGCTCAGTATCACTTAGAAAAGTATTTCTACACAGAATTTTTGAAAGGAGAACAAAAATCCCCTTGCCAAAAATAAGAATGACACATAGATTCAGGGGAAAAAAAATCCTTCCTCCGTGAAGACAGAGACATCTTCTGTGTTCATCACTGCACTTTCTGTGTCAAGTACAGTGTTAGACAGCTGTGTTAACGAGGTAATTTGACATCACAATAACAGCTAAACTTGATTGGACTCCTAGTACATGGCTTTGTGGCAAGCACTGTTCTCCAAAACCTGCATAAAGTACATCACTGAATGCTGACAACGAACCCGTGAGCTACGGGCTCGTACTGTCTCTACTTGGGAGGTGAGGACACTGCCCTAGAGCGAGGCTAGGTATCTTAGCCCAGGTCAAACAGCTCTGAAGTGAGAGAGCCAGAATTTCACCCCAAGCACTTCGGAATCTAGAGTTTACGCTTGCAGAATTAAAACAAAATAGGCTTTCTGCCTCTGCTATATCCCCGAGGAATCTGAAGAAAGAGCTAAATTTATTCAGTATTATGGCCCGAACTGTATCTTCTCAAAATTAATATGTAGAAGTCCTAACCCCCAGTACCTCATAATGTGACAATATTTAGAAATAGGGCCTTTTAAAGAGGTAGTTAAGTTAACATGAGATCATTATGGTGTAATTCCAATTAGGGGTAATCCAACACGTCTGGTGGCTTTATAAGAAGAAATGGATTCAGACATGTGCAGCAGGAAGACCATATGGAGACACAAGGATGGCCATCCACGAGCCAAGGCTAGATGCTTCAGAAGAAACCAACCCTGCCAAAACCCTGACCTTGGACTTCTGGCCTTCATAACTGTAAAAGAATAAGTTTCTGTTGTTAAAGCCGTCTAATCTCTGATCTTTCGTCACGGCAGTCCTAGCAAATAATATATTCAGTGTTAAAGTGTAAAATGGAAACCAAGGAAAACACATGTGGTCCAAATGAATCAAAACAAATAAAACCAACCCAAGGCAGATAGTTGCTTTCCTTCCATGGACATGGG